CCGGCTCCGGTTCCAATTCTGGAGCCGTTTGTTTGCCGTTTCCGGTCGCTTTTTCTTGCCGTTTCCGTTTTCAAGGGACACTTTTTGGGAAACGGTGAAAAAACGGCCCTGCCGCTTCCGGGGCCCACTAAGGTCTCGACTGTACTCGCACTGGTGGGCCTGGCCCTCCGCGCAGACCAGCTGCAGCCTGCAGGCGGCCAGGACAGGCTGGGCACCCCAAGCATGCCGCCTCTCGGAGCACACCTGCGAGTGCCCAGCGCACCAGGCCGAGGTGGGCAGGCCCGCAGCCGCGGTTAGGGCGCATCGGACGCCGCGAGCCTCCCCGCGGCGGCTGCCATAGGACTCCGCGCCAGCTGCATCCTCTGCCGCGCCAGCTCTTCTGGCACCCGCGGCGGCCGAGATCGGGCCAGCAAGAACGGGGCCGCGCGGACTGGCCGCGCGGCGAGCGGCGCCGCAAGCCGCGCGGGCCTGCGAATGGGCGCCCGCGACGGCCCGCTGCTCCTCCGTTGCCCTGCTTAGCCTGCGTGTCGAACCTGTCCGGCGCCGCCACCTGCGGAGGCCCGGCTGCACCAGCAGCCACGGCCCCAGCCGCCGCCTCTACCATGTAGACCTCGCGCAGTGGGGACGCGGCGCAGGGCACCGATGCCCCCTGCGACGCCTTCAGCGCCCTCAGCTCCGCCTCCATGTCCGCGTCGGCGTCCGCTCCGGCGAGCACCAGAGGCGTCTTGGACTGCGCGCCGCCACAAGGTCGCCCTGCGTCTCCGCAGAGCCCGCTGGCAAGGGCTCTCCTCGAACACGCTCTCGATCGCCATTCCCAGGTGCCTGCGACGGCGCACTCGCCGCGGCCGCGGGCTTCGACAAAGCCGCAAGCGGGTGGGTACCCCGCCCCCATGGCTGCGCACGTCGGCGAACGCCGCTCCTGATGTACTGCGCCCGTCGCTCGGCGGCAGATCGGTTGGGGCACCAGCGCCGAAGCGCCGCGTCCACCTCCTGCATCGGCAACGCGATGCCGCGGGTCATGGGCGAACCGAACCGGCGGGCTCCGGGGTGCTGGCTGGAAACGACCACGATGTTCGAGCCGAGCTGGCTCTGGGGGAGGAGGAGGAGGAGGAGGAGGAGGAGGAGGAGGAGGAGGAGGAGGAGGAGGAGGAGGAGGAGGAGGATGAGGATAGGATGAGGTGAGGATGAGGATGAGGACGAGGATGAGGAGGAGGAGGAGGAGGAGGAGGAGGAGAAGAGGGAGGAGGAGGAGGAGGAGGAAGAGGGGTGGGAGGAAGCGAAAGAGGGAGGAGGAGGGGAGTGGATGAGGAGGAGGGAGGAGGAGGAGCGAGGAGGAGAGGAGAAGGAGGCGGAGGAAGGATGAGGAGGAGGAGGAGGGAAGGAGGAGGAGGAGGAGGGAGGAGAGAAGTGAGGAGGGGGGGGGAGGAGGAGGAGGAGGAGGAGGAGGAGGAGGCGGAGGAGGAGGAGGAGGAGGAGGAGGAGAGAGGGGAGGAGGAGGAGGAGGAGGGAGTGAGGAGGAGGAGGAGGAGAGAGGGGAGGAGGAGGAGGAGGAGGAGGAGGAGGAGGAGGAAGGGAGGAGGAGGAGGAGAGGAGGAGGAGGAGGGGAGGAGGGGGGGGGGGAAAGGAGGAAGGAGAGGAGGAGGAGGAGGAGGAGGAGGAGGAGGAGGAGGAGGGGGGCGAGATGAAGGAGGAGGAGGAGGAGGAGGAGGAGGAGGAGGAGGAGGAGGAGGAGGAGAGAGTGGGGCGAGGTGAAGGAGGAGGAGGAGGAGGAGGAGGAGGAGGAGGAGGAGGAAAAAGAACGAGCCAACTCCCCCCCCCTGCAGGAGGCCGGAGGGGCGCGCGTGAGGCCGCGGATGGGCAGAGACCGGCTGGCCTGCAGCACCTCCAGCCGCACGGGGAGGTCTGGCCGCAGGCGGGCCAGGAAGGAGGCCACCTGCCCGCCGCCCCCGCGGGCCCTCCCGCGGGGAGCGAGGGAGGGAGGGAGGGAGGGAGGGAGGGAGGACGAGGAGGAGGAGGAGGAGGACGACGACGACGACGGAGAGGAAGGAGGAAGAGGAGGTGGGGGGGGAGGGGGGAGGATCGGGCGGGGGGAACAAGCGCTGACACAACCAATAAACTGTCGGAGCTCCGCGACGACTTCTCGCCTCGGCGCCGGGGTCCCCCGGGCGGCGTCTCTGGCGCCGACTCCGGCGCGGTCCGAGGGATGCGGCGCCGATCCGAAAAACCCGCGCGTACCCTCGACCAGGATAGTAAGGATGCGCGGTAAGGATGCAAGGGCCTTGGCACGCCATGTTGACGTTTTCCGCGCGGAGCGCAGCAGAGTGCCGAAGGATGCCGAATACCGAGGGGGCAAGGATGCCAGGGCAGCCTTGGAAAGTTGCCCCATCCTTGCTCTCATGGTCGACTGTACCCTCGGAATGCGATGCTTGCGTCACTGTGTTGCCCCCCGAGAGGAGAAGCTCAGCCGCCTGCCCGAACGAGAGAGAGAGAGAGAGGGAGCGCGGCAGGGGCCGGTGGCGTCGCCCGCACCCGCGCGGGCGCGGCGGCCGCGGCAAGCACAGCATCATCCACCACTGAAGATACGTTTTCTCGCGGCCCGCTGGGCCCCATGCCGAACAGAAGCGACATCGCGGGCAAACCGGGAGGAGGACAAGGCAAGACAGCACTTACGTTTGGGACGGACTCTGAGTCCACAGTCGAAGAGGTGTCAGGAGGAGGGGAAACTTAAACTCGTCGCTGCGACGGCAAACTGGCCGCATCAACCATGACATCATGGGGGTGAGACTGGAATCGTCACCAGGGTGGCGAAGAAGGAGGAAGAAGAGGCTTGAGCTGTGCGGACGTTTTCGTCGGCCTAAGGGTGCGTTCCAGCAGCTGCACCTGGTCGATAGCGTCCTGGGGGCGCCCGAATTGTCCCGAACGGCCACCAAAGACCGTGGTGATGGCCCGAAATCCCCGTCGTGCAAATTGTTGGAGGAGGAGGAGGAAGCTGATGGAGTACGCGATCGTTTTACGGGGGGTCCTGCTCTCAAGACTACGGGGCCTGTTCAAAGACGGCGCGGCGCGTCTCGCCCCCAGGGTAACGGCCGTGGTCGTGCGATGCGATGCGATGTTTGGCGCGAGCATGCAGAGGCAAGATATGCGCAACATGTGCATGCAGACTCAAAGAGGCGGGGAGGTGAATCACAGGGTTGATAAGGAAAAGGATGATGAAGGAATGACGGCGATGGAGGAGAGGAATGAGGACGAAGCGAGAATGAATGGTAGGGCAATATGAAGAGGGATGAAGAAAGGGATGGCGCATGCGAAAGAAGGAAGACAGAGGTAGAGAGGGAGGAGGACTGGGGAGGAAGGGCGGGAGGTAGGGGGAGGGGAATAGGTAGTTCTAGAGGACGAGTATGGATGGAGGAAACTGGAATTGAAGGTCGACGTTGAACGAAGGGGGCGAGGGGGGTGATTAGGGATGCAAAGAGGAAAGCATGGGTGGGGGGACCTCATCTTCTCCTCCTCGCCCTCCCCGCCCTCCTCTTCCTCCTTCTCCTCCTCTTTCTCCTCCTTCCTCCCTCCTGCTTCCTCCTCATCCTCTTCGGCGTCCCTCCTGCTTCCTCCTCTGTCTCTTCCCTCCCTCCCTCCCTCCCTCCCTCCTCCCTTAACCTCCTCCTCCCCCTCCGTCCTCCTGTTCCCTCTCCTCCTGACTCCCTCCTCCTCCCCTCCCCCCGTCCCCCTACGTCCGCCACTTCTCCATCCTTCTCGTCGTTCGTCGTCTGCCTCTTCCTCCTCTTCCTACTGCTTCTCGCCACTGGGAAGGCAACGCGTCGTAGTCAGATCTAGAAGGCACAGACGGTTCGATAGGGACCAACGCAAAGACCACGTCCCGCGAACGACTCCAGGGCCAAATCGAAACAGTGTCTGCCCGACGCGCCGGCGAAGTGCCGAACAAAGTTATCGACACCCCCAAGGCCCGGCGCGCGAAGGCTGTCCCACGGCGTCGCCCTCCTGGGCCCTCTGGGCCCGGGCGACCGGTACAATTCGAGAGGGACGCCGTCAGGCGCCTACACCTGAGGTTTGTTTTTCACCCGGTATAGGCTTCGAGCATCGACTCCAGAGAAAGGTTACGGGGAGGCGCGCGGAAAGCGGGCAGCTCGAAGGAGGCGCAGCAATGCCATATGATAATGTAATTGGCGCAGTCCGAGGGGGTAACTTGATGAGTAAAGCATGCGGCGAACGCCATGCTTGCAATGCTCGACTACGGGCGTGCGCCGATTGCCACAAGGACGCGGGGGGGAGGGGCGCAAGCGGCGCAAGCGCAATCAAAGGTCCCAGGCTGAACCAATCAACGCAGAACTAAACTGACCTGCGCGGCCAACGATAATCTGAGACAGCTCGGATAATCAAATCTAGGGCGACGCCGAGCTCGGCTGGAAAATCGGGATCGCTGGGAAGGGGAAGGGGGGGGGAACGCGGGCAGTATACGGGGAAACACATGGGTCGCATGGCGGGCGCCCACGGAAACGGAGGATACGGAGCGCGAGAAGGAAAATGAGGAGGGAACGGTACACATAGCAGAAAGGCACAACCCGGTGTGAATAAGAAAATCCCCAAAGATTTCACCGAACGAATTGGATTGTTCTCCTAGCCCTCTCCTTGACTTCTCCTTTTCTGTCCTTCTCCTTCTGCTGCTCATCCATCCATCCTCCCTCCCATTATGTTCCTTCCGCCACTTCCGAAAAGTTCGGTTGCCTTCCTTCCTCTCCTGCCCTCCTTGTTGCTGCTGCTGCTGCTGCTGCTGCTACTGCTCCCTCTCCTCCTCCCCCTGCTGATACCACTGCTCCTCCCCCATGTCCTAAACCCTGAATCCTAAACCCCTGATTTCCCCCCCGGTCCTCCCATTCCTTCTCGCTCTTCCGCGCTCCCCCGCGCCCCTCCGAGTCTCCCCCACGTCTGTCACCTCCTCTGGGTTCCTCCGCCCACCTCCGCTCCACCGCAAGCATACACACAGGAGGGAGGAGGAGGAGGAGGAGGAGGAGGAGGAGGAGGAGGAGGAGGAGGAGGAGGAGGAGGAGGAGGAGGAGGAGGAGGAGTTTCTCCAACCCGCCGATCTCCCCTAGTGCCTCCGCCCTCCGCCCCTTCCCAACTCCTGCGCGCTGCCCTCCACTATTTCGAGCTCCTCCCCGCTCCTCTGCAATAACGTCCACGGAGTGCCACACGCAGGTCAAAAACATTCGCAGGGGGTATTACCAGCGTGTCAAAACAATGTCGACGGAATGTCAAAATGGTGTCAACATTCAAACGAATCGCAAGGCGAAACCGTAAACCCACCCGACCGGATGCACTCCAGTGCTGAACTACGACTCCAGGCACCACTGGATTACCGGTGACTGCCTCTTGCAGCCTCACTCCGGGGACCGCACCAAGAAGGGAGAGGGCAAAGCGATGGAAGGCACGGCATTATTGTGACGTTCGCAGCCGCGCTCATCGGGAAAACCCTCTCCAATAACCCGGGGCCCATATCATGCCCAATTACATTCTGACCATACGGAAGCGTTCGCACCACAATAGAGCATCATGTATTTCGTTCGTGGCATCGTTCCGTTGCGCCTCGTCATGTGTTCCACATTAGTGGGAGCCTGCGCATGCGCGTAAGGGAGGCTGCGCAACTGAGCAAACAATGCGCGCTCGGCCCCCGCGTTGAAACATCGAAGCGTCCGAGATGCGAGGATTGCGCCTTCGTCGATCAACGACACCTGATTTGGCCAGCGAGTAACGTCCCTTCTGAAACCAACACGTCACGCGCATGTGATGTGATAATCGTTAGTGTCAACACGGCACGAAGACACTGTTCTTATGACATTCCAAGTGTCGCTCACGAGACGACATGTAAGCTGACACTAATGGACAAGGTGTTCAGTGGCGGGGTTTGGGGGGCGATGCCAGTTCGACATTCCGCCGACTTGTTTGGAAGACGCTGTTTCGATACGCTCTGGGGCACTCGAAATTATTCCTAGCGATCGAGGCTCTAATTGGATGGAACACCATAAGCTACACCAAGTTACTGCTCCTGCTCCTCCTCCGCCTCCTCCTCCTCCTCCTCCTCCCCTTCTTCTCCTCTTCCTTCCGCTCTTTCTCCTCCTGTTTTATCAACATCCTCGCCTACTTTACTCTTTCTCCTTCTTTTTCTTCATCTTCGTCTCCTTCTTCTTATTCCCAACCATCCTGTAGCGTTGGGTCCTCGTTTTGAAGAGACGGTCCCCGCGTTCTCATTCCTCCTCCCTCCTCCCCCTCCTCCCTGCGTTTCACCCACACAGTACAGCTCTCCGTGGCCCCATAGGGAGCTCCACCGAAGGTCCCATTGGAAACGAAACACTGGATGAAATTGGCATGGGGTCATGTGGTATTTTCGGCGGTGGATGAACCTCCCTTTAGTAAACCTCCCCTTCGTGAAAACTGCCCGGGACCGAAACCGACGGACCTGGACCAGCAAAACTGACGGCCGCGACGCCCTCTCGCGAACCGAAAACGGCCAATTCCTGAATCGACGTGTCAGGGCAGGAGGTCTATCCACCTCCGATGTTTTCTTCAGATCCCTCCTACACCCTGCGAAATGCTTTCGCAATCGTGGGTTAAGAATTTCATACTCTCAGAACTTGAAACTAAAGACCCAACGTTTCTACTAAAATCTCAAGACTTCCACTGAAACGTTACGAATAATCGAGACGCTGGCCGAAAACGTAAGTTTTCTTAAGCATCGCCTAAGGTGTACGTCGGGGGGGGGTCTCTTCCAGGCTATCTTGGAAAGCCTGGGGGGTCTGGGGACGATGTTTTGGAGGGTTCTCCCACGGTGGAGGTCTGAAATGGCTTGTCCTGGAGGGTCCAGACCCCCTCCCTTTTATTACGAAATCTGGAGTAGGAGGTCTATCCACCTCCGATGTTTCTCTTCAGATCCCTTCAGCGTCGCGTCGAGGCCGGGTGGTCCGTGGCCCCCCAATTCCCCCCCTGCCAGTCCTGGCGGGGGCGGCCGCCGAGCGCCGTGCCTCGGGCCACCGTTGGCTGGGAGCGGGTTGGCGGGGGGGGGGCAGGGCCGAATCTCCCCCATCAAGTCGTGGTTGCTGCTGGGAGTGATGGGCCTCCTTTTCCCACCACCACCACCACCTTAAGTTGGAGGGGGGGAGGAGGTGCAGGCCGAGGAGATAGAGGAGGAGGAGGGGGAGGAGGAGGAGGAGGAGGTTGAGGAGGAGGAGGAGGTGGAGGAGGAGGAGGTGGAGGACCCCCTCCGCCTCCAACTTCTGGTGGTGGTGGTGGTGGTGGAAAACGGGCCCATCAGGGAGGCTTGTGCATGGATAGATGGCCATTCCACGCGACTCCTCTTGACCTTGGCGCGATCTGCGAAGCTGCGCGCGCGGCCGAGTCCGTGAATGCCTGAACCTTGGGGGTGATTCCTGCATGCTGGGGGGCTCTCACCGTACGGGCCCCAAAGGCCCCCACACGTCCCAGCGTCCCTGG